ACTATTCCTGGAAGCTCCCTGCTTCTTCCTGGGCTACTCAGGGCCATGAGAACCGGGCATCTGGTTGCTGCTGACTTTGCAGCATCTTTGACTTGCACAGTTTGCCAAGTTGTTTGTGAAAGAGAACTTTATATGTGACCACTCCCAGGGTATGCCAAGAAGAGTTCCCCCGATGCCAGAATTCCCTTGTGTTGGAGCCATCTGTAAGGCCTCTGAGCTTCTACCCTTGCCCTCTGCTTGGAATTCAAATTCAAAGCTCTCTGTACAGTAGGAGGGATCCACAGAAAAATAGCTTCTGTTGTGGATTTGAGGAGCTTACAACTTCTCTGGAAACTCTATACTCAAATAAATACATTAAATAACTGGGAGCTTGATAGAGTAGGTGTTTCTGACTATTCAGTGATGCAAAATTTAGACTAGGAAGATGTCCTGGATAATTTTATGTAATAGCTTTTTCTTTTCTTTTTCCTTTTTTCTTTTCAGTGTTTTAATTGGCCCATAATAATTGTACATATTTTTCAGGTTCACTGTGATATTTCAATACGTGTATACGATGTGTAATAAACCAGCCACGGTAATTAGCATATCTATCCCTTCAAACATGCATCATTTCTTTTGTTGGGAATATTCAAAACTCACTCATCTAGCTTTTCAAAAATTTACACAAAATTGTTATAAATTATAGCTGCCCTGTAGTGCTATAGGACATTAGAATCCATTCCTCAGATGTGGCTGTACTTTTGTATTGCTTAACCAAGCTTTGGCTGTCTTCTCTGTCCCCGTCAGTGGCTGTAGTAACCACTATTTCACTTGCTATTGCTATGAGATCTAAATTGTTAGCTTCCACATATGAACTAGAACATGTGGTATTTGTCTTTCTGTGCCTGGTATTTTCCTGAATCTTTTTGTGCCTTTCACTTCTCTGAACAAGTGCTGAGACATGAGAAAGGGTGAGTTGGGGGCCCTAAGTTTCTGCTGTTCCAAGGCTCCTCCAATATTTCAAGTTATTTGACCACATTGGTTTGTGACTTCAGGTCAGAACTGCTCATATGTATGCTAAGATGGCAGCATACCATCTTGAATGGCTCTGCCTTTTTCAAACACAAACACACAGACACACACACACCTATCTGTGTTGTTAATATATGTTAAAAAAAAAACAAATAAATTATGTGGTAGATATGGGTGCTTGATGTCTTATATTTATTCACATTTTAAGCTCTTCTTATGGTGTCCCTGGCCATGGCCATCATGAGTTTGTGGTTATTAAATCAGTCCTCAGAGGCCTAGATGGGTTGAACATGGAAATTACCTAATAAAAGAAACTCAGAAAGGTAGTTGGAATAACAAAATGACCCTAAAGCAAAACTGCTTGTGTTGAATATAGTTCCAATGAATATTTGCCATTTGAATTGGTTTAGTTACTTAGTTCTTCTCTGACCCTCAGTCTCTTCATTTGTTAAATATGGCTCTTCATAGCACCTATATTATTAGGATGTCATGTGGATTAAGTAGGTTCCTCTTAGTCAGCATTTAGAATAGTCTCTGGCACAGAGAGCATGCAATGAAGGTTTGTGTTAAATGGCCAGACGCAGTGGCTCATGTCTGTAATCCCAGCACTTTGGGAGTCCAAAGTGGGTGGATCACCTGAGGTTAGGAGTTCAAGACCAGCCTGGCCAACTTAGTGAAACCCTGTGTCTACAAAAAATACAAAAATTATCCAGGCATGGTGGCTTATGCTTGTAATCCCAGCTACTTGTAAGGCTGAGGCAGGAGAATCATTTGAGCCTGAGAGGCGGAGGTTGCAGTGAGCCGAGATGGCACCACTGTGCTACAGCCTGGGTGACAGAGTGAGGATCCGTCTCAAAAAAAAAGTGAGAAAGAAAAAGGAAATTTGTGTTAAATAAAACAGAGGTTTCCTGTGAAGCAGAAAAGGCTAAGTTATAAGTAAGTTGCTTTATGTCTGCAGAACACAGCAGACCAGGGAAAATCCTGAATGCATCTTGTATTTCTTGAGCTCCTTTCCTCTCCAGTCCAAGGCTTGCAGACAGGCTTCTATTCACATGCCTGCTAAGCATTTAAACAACAGGAACGTTATTTCTCAATAGTAAGTCTAAAATCTCTATTCCAAGCATCAAAAGCAGAAAATAGCTACTGAATGATGGCCAGTAGCACCATCTATCATCCACAGCCTTGAAACGTTCTAAGCCATATTGAGTCTTATCAAGAAATTGCCCCACTTGGGCACATATTAACCTTAACGTCCATGATACTTGCTTCTATCTCTGAGAAAACTAACATAAAGAATAGATGGGAAAGGCCTGAAATGAGCTTCTGGGAATCTTATAAAACTAGGTCAAAGGTCCTTGAGGATCCTCAGAAAAATAAGGTAAATACTAAAGGGATTGAATGTATGGCTTTCCTGAAAAAGGAATTTCTTTGGGACCATGGCTGCTACCAATTTATGTCCTAAATTTTATTATCTTGCATGTGGAACTTGGCCAGTCACCTATGTAAGCAACAAGTGCAACTTCTCAATGGAGTTACCACTACTGGGGACAATAAAGATTTTTATGGGCGTACTCTGTCAATTGTTATTTGTTTTGAATCTCTGTCTGTTTTATGTCTTCCTAGTTGTAACATCTGTCATTGTGTATTTTAGAGTACTAGATCTTTTATACCTGGACAGTCATTTCTTGTTTGAAGTTATGTTAAATTAAGAAAAAAATCTCATATTTTAAAAATACTTATTATAAAGACATATGCATACATATAATCATTGCAACATTGTTCACTATAGCAAAGACATAGAATCCACCTAAATGCCCGTCAATGATAAACTGGATAAAGAAAATGTGGTACGTATACACCATGGAATACTATGCAGCCATACAAAAGAATGAGATAATGTCCTTTTCAGCGACGTGAATGGAGCTGGAAGCCATTATCCTTAGCAAACTTACACAGGAACAGAAAACCAGATACTGCATGTTCTCACTTATAAGTGGGAGCTAAGTGATGAGAACAATTGAACAAATAGAAGGGAACAACACACACTGGGACCTTTTGGAGAGTGGAACATGAGAGGAGGGAGAGGGTCAGCAAAAATAACTAAGGGTACTAGGCTTAACACCTGGGTGATGAAATACTCTGTACAACAAAGCCCCATTACACAAGTTTACCTCTGTAACAAACTTGCACTTGTACCACTTAACTTAAAATTAAAGTTGAGAAAAGAAAAGAAAATATTATGCCATGAAGTATTTTTATCTTAATTTTCAAAAATTAATTGCTTGTTCAATTTTTACCAGATAAATATGTCATGGTAGCAAGTATACTGGACTCTTCCCTACTATTCCTTTGTTAATGGAAGAATACGTCTGAATCTCTTATTTAGAGAAAAACTAGGAATCATTCTCTGATTCTAATCATTTTAAAAGGCATAACTACTTTTTGTAAAAGCAGAAAAAAATTGGATTAATTTAACAAACACATAGGAACCAACAGTGAGAATATACAATATTAACATCTGTCATCTTTGTTTAATATCATTAGTTTTTGTTTTTGTTTTTATTTTTTGAGACAGTTTATTGTTCTATCACCCAGGCTGGAGTGCAGTGGCACAACCACAACTCACTGTAATCTCAACTTCCCAAGCTCAAACAATCCCCCACCTCAGCCTCCTAAGTAGCTGAGACTACAGGCATGTGCCACCATATCTGGAGATATATATATATGTGTGTGTGTGTGTGTGTGTGTGTGTGTGTGTATATATATATACTTTTTTTGTAGAGATGGGGTCTCACTGTGTTGCCCAGGCTGGTCTCAAATTCCTGGGCTCAAGTTTTCCTCTCATCTCAGCCTCCAAAAGTGCTGGGATTACAGACTTGAACCACCACACCAGGCCCATCATTAGTTTTCATATAAAGGAAAAAACCTTAGAATTGTTAGGCAAATATTATGACAAATTGTAATATATATTCTTACATTTCAGATTTTTATTTTTTAAACTGTATGACAATTGATTAATAAATAAAATTTAGTATTAATCTGTCTTTTAAAACCATATATAAAGTTTATCAAGTAGCTTATAACTTCTTGCCACTGAATTTCTGTATTCAATGTTATGGATTTGATACTAATCCAAGTTGAAATATAGATATCCACTTTATTCGATTTAAATTGTTTGGTATTTTATTGTATTTTGTTAATCCATTTGTCCCAATTCATATACTTATCTCTCTTTCTGTGAACATTCAGGTTAGTTTCTTCTTCCTAATTTTGCATTCCGATTGGCTTTTATTCCCTGAATTATAAATGACTATTCTATGATGATTCTGCTAAATATTCAATTTCACCACACAATCTTTGACTTCATACTAACAAACAGTTGACTTCACATGGACAATTTCAATGAAGCCTGACTTCATATCTAGCTCCTTTAATCTTCCTTGGGCATCAGCTATCTACAATTCTCACATTGAGAATATCTGTATTTTGCTGGCTCACACCTTGCTGGACATGTTAAATGTTTAGAAATATAAATTTAACCTACCTCTTGAGATAGGTCTTGAGAGGTTTGTGAGCCTAAAAAGACATGGAGGAACCACTTAATGCCACAGGCACATTGTTCTAAATTATTTGGAATCAGTTAATTCCTCCCCATCTCCTAGCCATGCCTGACACCAAAGGGGAGCCTCTAAATTTACAAGGAGTAGAAGGAAATCTACTCTTCTCTGCTCCTCTCTGGGTTGTTAGGGGACATGGGAACCCTCAGTTGTTTTCTGCTGAGCAACAGCCAAGTCCACCTTGGACTTAGACAGCTTGCCAAATTGTTTGCCGGAAGGGAACCTGATTTGTGACCACTCCCAGGGTGTGCCAGGAAAAGGCTCCTACTGGTGCCAGAAGCTCTTACTGTCAATGCCCTCCCTAGGTCCCCAAAACTCAACCCTTGCCCTCACTCCTTTCGCTTAAATGACGTGGTTCTTATCTCAGATCCCGATATAAAGCTCCTACAGCTACCTGGCCTGAGAAGCCAACTCAGACTCAGCCAACAGGTAAGTGGGCATTACAGGAGGAGGGCACCTCTAACTTGCACTGTAAATCTAAAATCTTGGGGAAGATACAGCATGAGTTTCTGTCCAGGAGGTTTTAGCCGTAATGAAGCCTCAGTGGGATGCAAAGGTGTTTTTCGGTTATTGAATCTATAATCCTCAAACTCTCAAGAGAAACTTTCGAAGGTATGGGTGTCTCAGAGGACCTTCCTGGTCTCAGAAATTCTGAGAGGAGGTTTTAAGGAAGGTAATAGGTGCTTTGCTCTCCATCTCTCAGAACCCCCGTCTCCGTGTTCTCCTATAGAGATTGTTGATTTGCCTCTTAAGCAAGAGATTCATTGCAACTCAGCATGGCTCAGACCGGCTCATACTTCATGCTGATCTCCTGCCTGATGTTCCTGTCTCAGAGCCAAGGTAAGATCTTTTTTCCACCAACCAACTCTGTCTAGCCCTGAAGCCTTCACTCTATCCCCAAGCATATGGGTCTACTTGAAAAAAAAAAAAAAAAAAAAAAGTAGAGTCACCATTAAGGGTTGTTTTGTGGTGTTTAGTGATCTTTATTGCTGATCTCTCCACATTTATATGCATCTACACCTCATTAAGGAGTTTGAGCTAGAATTTAAAATGACCCCTTATAAGCTACTGCTGCAGTTGGGATGAGTTAATCTGATTAAATTTATATACATGATGGTGGATTTGGGGATGTCTGTGTGTAGAGAGTCACTAATGGGGTGTAGAACTGAGGCGAGCCTTGTGTTCAGGGAAACCAAGACAGGCTTGAGAAAGCAGAAGCCTGAGTTCTTCAAGGCAGAAGAGCCTGAGCTCCAGACATAAAAGGGAAACTGGAGACATGTTTCTTTAGCCAATTCATTCTGGGATTTTTTTGCCCGATCAAATAAACCAAAGAGAGAAGATGTAGGATGCAGGAGCAAGAGTGAGCAGTCATTCCATAATAGACTAGATTATTCTGTTTCTATAAAGGAACCCCAGAAACTCCTACCTCATCTTCAAGCCTTTTCCTTACCCTGAGAGCCTCCTTTAATTGTCTGTTCTTTTTCAGGTCAGGAGGCCCAGACAGACTTGCCCCAGGCCCGGATCAGCTGCCCAGAAGGCAGCAATGCCTATCGCTCCTACTGCTACTATTTTAATGAAGACCGTGAGACCTGGGTTGATGCAGATGTGAGTAAGGAGAGCAGTGTGGGAAGGGAGGCTCATGAAGGGAGGGGAAGCTGCCACTCTGCAGTGTGTTCAGTGGCTGCAATGAGATGAGACTGAACCCCTCGCTGCACTATCATCAGCCCCAAACTTTCCAGTCTACTTTATGCCATTTTTCAGCACATTCCCAGCACAAAGAACCTCGTGGTCAGTGACAGCATCGTCAGGGACATTACTGTGCTGTCCTTTTTATGACCCATCTTCTTGGAGGACTCAGTATATCCCTCACACCCTCCTCCTCCACTGCGTGCTCCATTTTCTTCCCCAACAGCTCTACTGCCAGAACATGAATTCGGGCAACCTGGTGTCTGTGCTCACCCAGGCAGAGGGTGCCTTTGTGGCCTCACTGATTAACGAGAGTGGCACTCATGACTTCAATGTCTGGACTGGCCTCCATGACCCCAAAAAGGTAGGCTGCAGCCTTCTTTATCTCCTAATAATCAGGTTTGAGAAGTAAGAAGGAGGTTCACGTTCTGGTCTCCTAAGTACCAGCTTTTGTCACTTTCCAGAACTCAAGCTGTTTACAGATCCTATAATGTCCTATGTAGCAACACTGTAGATGATTAGAGATATAAATGGAAAGCTGAATTTCCTAGGTGTCCTGGTCATTCATAAATAAACTTATTCTGTTTACAGTCAACAAAGCATCTATATGAACCAACTTCTTACCTATTTTGTTACTGTCAGCGTCATAAGAGAGACTAGATTGCTGACTATACAGAAAAGGAGACTTGTGGTAAAGAATCTAGTGCTGTACTACTGGCATTTGGGAACCTAGTAGTACACTACATAATATAATATATCAACAACTAATGGTCAGCCAATGCTATGCTGGATATGAGGGTCCTGGGCCACAAAGACAAAAAATCAGGAACTACTTTTTAAGTGAGCTACTTTGGGTCTCTATGTCAAATTCATAACACTTATTTCTTGGTGAAACGTGGTTAATGAGTTGGACAGTTCAGGAAAGAAGAAGTTTAGAGCAATAGCAAAGGAAAGGAAACAATATTTAGCAAGGTTTATTCTTCCCTTGTGTCTTAGTATGTTTCTGAGTGTGCACACAGGCCCAGTGATTCCATGAATTTTTGAGTGATCACTGCCTCTGTTCTGGCCCTTCCCCATCTAGAACCGCCGCTGGTACTGGAGCAGTGGGTCCCTGGTCTCCTACAAATCCTGGGACATTGGAGCCCCAAACAGTGTTAATCCTGGCTACTGTGTGAGCCTGACCTCAAGCTCAGGTGAGAGACAGAGAATCCATCCACCTCTTTCTGTTCTCTCCTGCTTAGCTCTAGGGATGGAACTGGGACTGGGATAGAGGAAAGGTGAACTCCTCATTAAGGAAATGGGTGTTTGGTTTTTGTCCTGAGTCCTAAAGCCAGGAGGGTCATACTCTTTCTGGTCTCCCAAGTCTAACTCTTCTCATTGACTTATAGGATTCCGGAAATGGAAGGATGTGCCTTGTGAAGACAAGTTCTCGTTTGTCTGCAAGTTCAAAAACTAAGGGCTGCTGGAAAATAGATGTCTAGAACTGATCCAGCAATTACTACGGAGTCAAAAATTAAACTGGACCATCTCTCCAATGCAACTCAACCTGGACACTCTCTTCTCTGCTGAGTTTGCCTTGTTAATCTTCAGTACTTTTATCTACTCCAGTCTCTGGAACCCTAAATAATAAAAATAAACATGTTTCCACTATTGTGTTGTCTTACTGTGTCTGCTATTTCCACAACTGATGCCGGGATGGTTGAGATGAGAGTGATTACAACAAAGCTTGCTCAGGCCTATCCACTTTTAAAAAGTCCATCCACATACCATGCATATTAGAATTCAGTATTTATGAACATATGTGGCTTTGCTTATGACAAGGCTAACAAGATGGAGATTGACCAAAAATTCACATGCTGGCATATCTCAAAGATATTTTGCATTCAGTTCCAGACCACTGTAATAGGGGTAATATCACAGAAAAGCAAGTTACACAGGTGGTTTTTTGTTTTTGTCGTTGTTGTTGTTGTTATTTGTTTTTTTGCTTCCCAATGCATAGAAATGTTTTCTTTACACTACACTGTAATCTATTATATGGACCATAACATTATGTCTGAAAAAGAAATATACATACTTTAATGAAATAGTACTTTATTGCTAAAAAATACTAACCATCATCTGAGCCTTCAGCAAGTAGTATTCTTTTGCTGGTGAATGGTCTTGCCTCAATGTTGATGGCTGCTGCCTGAGCAGCGCAGTGGTTGCTGAAGGTTAGAGTGGCTGTGGAAGTTTCTTAAAATAAGACTACAATGAATTTGGCCACATTGATTTGATTCTTCCTTTCATGTATGATTTCTCTATAGCATGTCATATTGTTTGATAGCATTTTCCCCACAGTAGAACTTCTTTTAAATCGGAGTCAGCCTCTCCAAACCCTGCTACTTCTTTATCAACTAAATTTATATGTTGTTCTAAACCCTGTGTTGTCATTTTAACAATGTTCACAGTACCTTTGTCAAGAGTAGATTCCATATCAGGAAACCACTTTCTCTGCTCATCCATAAGAAGCTGCTCCTCATCCTTTCAAGTTTTATCATAAGATTGCAATGATTCAGTCACCTCTTCATGCTGCATTTCTAACTTTAGTTCTCTTGATATTTCCACTACATTCACAGTTACTTCCTTCACAGAAATCTTGATCCTTTCAAAGTTATTCGTGAAGGTTGGAATCAGCTTCTTCCAAACTTCTGTCAATAATAATATATTGACCTCCTCCCTTAAATCAAAAATGTTCTTAATAGCATCTAGAATAGTGTATTCTTTCCAGATGGTTTTCAATTTACTTTGCCCAGATCCATTGGAGGAATCACTATGTATGGCAACTATAGCCTTGTGACATGCATTTGTTAAATAATAAAAATTGAAAAGTGAAGTTACTTTTTGATCCCTAGGCTGCAAAACAGATTTTGTGTTACAAGCAGGCATGAAAAAATCATAAATCTTCTTGCACAGATCTGTGTTCCTAAGCGACAAGGTGCATCATCAAGGTGCAATAATATTTTTAAAAAAACCTTTTTTCTGATACAGAGGTCTCAACAAGTAGAATTAAAATATTCCATAAACTATGCTATAAACAGATGCTCTCATCCAGGCTTCAGTGTCACTATGTTTATTATCTTAGCTAGATCTTCTGGATAACTTGCTAAAGCTTCTCCATCAACACTTGCTGCTTTTCCTTGAGCTTTGATGTTATGGAGACAGCTTCTGTCCTGCAACTTCATGAATCAGTCTCTGCTAGCTTCAGACTTTTCTTAGGCAGTTTCCTCAACTCTCTCAGCCTTCATAGAATGTTGCTGACTTTCTCCAAGTCAGCAATAAGGATGTGCTTTTAAAAATTATTTGTGTGTTCACTGGAATAACACTTTTGACTTTCTTCAAGAACTTTTCCTTTTTGTTCACAACTTGGCTGTTTGGGACAAGAGACCTCATTTTTAGCCTATCTCAGTTTTGGACATGCCTTCCTCACTAAGATCAATCATTTCTAGCTCTTAATTTAACTCAAATGATGGGCAATTCTTCCTTTCACTTGAAGAATTAGAGGCCATGGGAAAGTTATTAATTGGCCTAATTTCAATATTATTGTGTCTCTGGGAATAGGGAGGCCAGAGAAAAGGGAGAGAGCTGGGGAAGTGACCAGTGAGCAGTCAGAACACACACATTTATTGATTAAGTTCATAATTGTGATGTTTCATCAAAGCCCAAAATAGTGATAATAGTAACATCAAAGATCACTGATCACAGATCACCATAACGGATGTAATAATAATAGTAAAGTTTTAAATACCGCAAAATTACCAAAATGTGACCCAAAGACTTGAGGTGACTACGTGATATTGGAAAACAGCACTGATAGACTTCTTCAATGTAGAGTTGTTACAAACCTTCCATTAAAACAAAAACCAAAGATACAGTATCTATCAAGCACAATAAAATGAGGTATGCTTGCATTCACATAAACCCAGTTCAAGTTCCAGAAGCAATTGTTGATGGTCTACAGATGGCTGGGGTATTTGATATTCATGAGATATTTGAATGGTTATGGTCTGAGGATATCGCATCTTTGCTCCATATGCAAATTGAAGCCACAACGAAAATGGTAATTTAAGGAAAATTTTCAGATCTAGAGTGCTGAATGCATAGTGGAATGACCTAGGGACATGGAATCCAGCAACAGTTGTTACATGGCTCTCATTGAATACATAACAATCAATAAATAGTTAAATATCCAGACATACTTAGTTACCTTCTTGAAGATTATATCTCCAGATACAGCCAAATTCTGAAGTTTGCAGTCTAAAGAGATTAACAAATTAATTTTGTGAAGACCCAATTCAGATCATAACACCATCCATATCAATAATACCATTACATGTGATTTGATAAAACAATCCAATCCAAAAACACAGGTTGTTCTATTAAAACAACCACCACAATAATAAAATCAAGATTCAATTATGTGGCATTTATAGGAGACCTGGCTTAAATTTACAGAGTTACTAAATGTTTTCTTTCAAGTGTTTGATAATTTTATCTCTTAAATATGAATCTATATTTCATTTTGAATCAATCTCTATATACAGTGTAAGAAATAGAACCAAATGCATTCCTTAGCATATAGCTATTCACTTGTTCCAGCACCATTTGCTAAAGAATATTCTTCCCTCTTGAATTTCCATGATACAGTTGGCAACAAACAACTAACTATAAGGCTAAAAGTTTATTTCTGAAATCTGCATTCTATACCACTGATAATTCATGTTTGTCATTATGACAATTCTACACAATCTTTATCACTTTAGCTTTGTAATAAGTTCTAAAATCTGAAACTGTAACTGTAAAAACTTGTGTTCTTTATCAAAATCGTTTTGTCTATTCTTGACCAATATTGTTTTGGCTGTTCTGAATTTCCATACGAATATTAGTCAACTTGACAATTTCTGCAAGAGGAAGCTGGGACTTTGATGGGGATTAAGACAAGTCTATAAGTCAATTTAGAGAGTACTTTCACCTTAATGTTTAGTCCCTGTTCTATGAACACAAACTCTCTTTTCACTTATTTAGGTCTTCTCTACTTTAACAATGTTTAGTAGTTTCTAGTGTACAAGATTTGCACTTCTTTTAAAATTTTTTCTTAAAATGTTATTTGTTTTGATATTATTGTAAGGAAAATGTTTTCTTGATATTATTTTAAATTGCTTATTCCTACCATATGGTTTTTCCTAGAGAATATATCTTGTGTGCTCGAGAATGATGTGTATTTTGCTGACATTAGGTGAAGCATTCATTCTATATATGTTTGTATGATTTAGTGAATTTAGAATATATTTAAAGTGTTCTACTTTCTTGTTGATCTTCTAAGTGTTCTACTGATTACTAAAAGTGCTGCATTGAAGACTCGAACTACTACTGTTCAATCACCTGCTTCTCCCTTCACTCCTCCCAGATTTTGCTCTATGCATTTTGGGACTCTGTTCTTATTTGTACAGGTGTCTACAATTATTACATCTTTCTGAAAGACTAACCACTTTGTCATTATACAATGCTCCTCCTTCCCTTTAGTAACACTTTCTGCTTTAATGTCTAACATGTCTAGTAACATTTTTTGCTTTAGTGTCTAACATGCCTGTCGTTAGAGCAGACATTCCAGTGTTCTTATGGTTGCTGTTTGTATGACATATCTTTTCCTGATTTTTTACTTTCAAACTACTGTATCTGTTTCATGAAAGGATCATATATGTGAAGTAACTGGCAAATGAAGGAGGAGTTGAGAAGAGAAAGAACAAAGCAAACAAATCCAGTTTGTCAGTAAGGGGCGATTTATTAGAGAACTTACAGACAGAAGTGTGGTCTTGGTGGCAGCAAGACAGGCAGATCTCTGAACCGTAACTTCCCAGGCCCAGTGCTTATACACCATAGGGAAAGGGGTTGCATGCTTTTTAGGGACAATTAAAGGCAACTTTCCAGAACAAGGAAAAATGCTGTATGTGTCATAATTTGTAATTTGTTATGATAATATCAAGGTTGTTTTGCTCTAAAGGAAAGATTTAGAGTGACTGCATATTCTTGCACCAAAGACAGTCAATAAGCCAGGCACAGTGGCTCACACCTGTAAGCCTTTTGCTTGGGAAGCCAAGGCAAATGGATTGCTTTAGACAGGAGTTTGAGACCAACCTGGGCAATATGGTGAAACCCTGTCTCTACTAAAGATACAAAAATTAGCCGGATGTGGTGACATGAGGTGCACCTGTCATCCCAGCTACTGAGGAGGCTGAGGCAGGAGGATCACTTGAACCCAGGGAAGCAGAGGCTGTAGCAAGCTGTGATCATGCCACTGCACTCCAGCCTGAGTGACAGGAGTGAGATCCTGTCTCAAAAAAAAAGAAAAAAAAAAAAAAAAGACAGTAAATAAAGAATCAGGAGGTATTCCTGGGACTAGGGTTAAGCAGAAGTCAATATAGGAGATTAGCATCCAAGATGGAGTCACTTTTGTCTCCATACTCCACAGCTCTAATCAGGCTGTTATAATCTCACACACCCACATGTTCCACAATGGTCCCTGAGCTGGGGATAGGGTAGTATGGGGGGCACAGCAGTCATTTTGATGGCGTGGATAACACGTTACATCAATTTGCTTTCTACATGTAACCAGAG